ATGTATTCCTTTGACAAAAATTTGTATTAAATATAAAGTTTTCTAGTTCATAATAGTTCATAATACTAATTAAGCGTGCAAAAATGAGTTTGAAAAGTTGATTTGAGCAAAACTAGACAAGTTACATTTTGTTAATTTGAAGTACGCTTTATTTAATTCATTAAAAAGGTATAACAGTTGAACATGAAACACCATATTATGTCATCTCCCTAATTCATACAGCAATACTATTATCCTCTACACATTTCACACGTTAAGATAACGTCACGGATTTAATCATAATTTTATTTTTTCATTAGCATCAACTCCTTGACAAGTACGACAATGGATTTTAACGTATTAATTGGAGAAACAAAAACCTCCGTTTGCAGGTTACTTTTTGTTATTGCTCTTGGATTAACGATCAGGATAATAGCAGACGACGACTTCCTAGACGTGGACTGTCGATAACAAAACCTCCTCAATAATGTGACGATAATTGTAACAACTAACTTTTCTATCATTCTTCTGTCTATTTTTTATCTAATTTATCTGTGTACTAAATAATAAAAACAATGTGGCGTTACGTTATTATTACTCTAAAATGTATAACAAATTTCATCAACAAAGACATTTAACCCAACTATAACACAGAATTCAACATGTATTTTGTCATGTCGTGAGTTTAACATGTATTAACCAGTGATCAACGTGGCTATAAATAACGTCACTGATGACCTACGAACATATCAATATAGCTAACAGTCCAATACTGGATCAATATGTTTGGTAGAGACATGTTTTGGTTGTCAATGGTGCAGTGTTGTAAACATTTTAATTTTTTAAAGTCACTCCTGTAATTAAATTATTGCAATGCCCTATACATAACGGCTCAAGTCTTTCCAAATGTTGTATGATCATTGAAATATTCTTTTTAAAGCTCTTGACTTAGCAAATAAAAAGACAGTTCAAACACCTTTGGGCTTCTTAAAGAAATTATACTTTTAATCGATCAATATTAAACTTAGTTGCAACTGTCGAAAAATAAATCTGATGGGAAACATAATTGTTTGTTATATCAATGTTTAGGCAAATATATGTGTAGAAGCTATGTATATAAACCTCCAGTGGCGTAGCCAGGATCGTCTCATGGGGGTTTTATATTTTATTATGTATATATATATATATATATATATATATATATATATATATATATATATATATATATATATAATTCTCTTCTGGGAGACGTTAGAAAACAAGCTGCAAGCGCCTCCTTACAGTCCACTCTCTTTCTCTCTATCACTATCACTACCAACCCCACCCCACCCCACATAGTCTGGTGAGCTGTAGTCAAACTAAGTGTTTACAAATCGTAGGGCCGGGTTTAGTTTGAAACGATGTTAAACTTACAGGAGGTAACTAAGAAGAGGCTGCTTTCACGGCGGGGGGGGGGGGGGGGGTTGTAGGGTCGGGGTTAGGGGAAAGGGGGGGGGGGGGTTAGTGTTTTAAAGCAAATATTTTCAGTGGCAGCATTGGTACTGTCGAATTCACAAATTATGAATTACTGAAAAGTAGAAAATAAAACAACTAAATAGCGGCGTAAGATACGCCGCGGGTCGGCTCGTAAATATATAATTCTCTTCTGGGAGACGCTAGAAAACAAGCTGTAAACGCGCTCCCTACCATCCCCACCCCTACATGGTCTTAGTGAGCTGTGGTTAACGCTATGTTTACCTTCGTGAAGTCGGGTTTAGTGACGGCTATTAGGGGCAGATAATTTAGTTTGAAACGATTTTAAACGTGGGGGGGGGGGGAAGGAAAGGGAGGGGGGGTTATGGTCCTTAACGAGCTACTTATAGTGTTTTAAAGAAATATTTTCAGTGTCAGCGTTGGTACTGTCGAATTCACAAATTATGAATTACTGAAAAGTAGAAAAAACAACAACTAAATAGCGGCGTATGTTATGCCGCGGGCCGGCTCTTATATATATATATATATTATACTAGCTGTATGTCTTTACTTCGCTATCATGTAAAATAAATTGAAAGTACTCTGAAGTGATAAATTAAAAAAAACAATGTTGGCCGACAAAATAAAACATTATTTATCACTCTAAAACAAAAAAACAACTATACACACAGTGAGCGCAACACAATCTGTTTTGTAATCCTTGTAAAAAAAAACAATTTGAAATAATGATTCCTAGAAATATTAAGACAAACGAACTAGGGGAAATAATCACTCTCTTAATATAACTATGTATATTTCTACAAATTTAATTGCAAACGTCAAATCATATCACTAATTACTTTAGTATGTAGTATAGAAGCTTTACTTTATTCGTTTTTAAATTCTTCAAACAAACATGAAGCTATTTATGCAGTGGGGACTGGGAGGGGATAGATTTAAAAATCGTCAAACGAACGTGATGTCATTTATGGATGACCACTAAAACTCAGTAATCCAATGATAACGAGAATTCTAGTAACACTTAGTCGTATCGTGGTATTTCTATTTGGCGAAACTTTGACACCAACTTTTACGGACGTTTATATATGTGATGTGACGTTGATACATTCTATTGCTTAATCGTGACCCAATAGTGGAGTGGTGACTGTCGTGATTGTAGGTCCTGTGATTGATGTCTATGTTAATCCCTTCATACTAACTATGAAAAGCAAACAACAAAAGTGGACGGAAGAACATGCTAAACAATGGAACTTGATGGGAGACGGCGCTCTAACTAGATGAAGGCACACTGATTTGCAGTAAATATTCATTTTCAAGCTTTTTGTTTTTGTGTAAAAATCATATTTGAATGGTATTGTTTTCAGAACAATGTGATTATGATGCACGGTTAATTTTGTGCATCAGTAAAATATATAGGCTACAATTGTTTTGTATTTGAAAAAAATAAAAATATATTTTTCTTATTAAGAATGATTCTATGAATGCATATACGTAGCTGATGGGGTTCGCTCCCTCCAGAAAGTTTAAGAAACACTGCTCAACGCTGTAAAAATGTAAATGTTGATATAAAACCTGTACATTATTTACAAACCCGAAAAACGAAAAAGTACATGAAGTGCCAAATCCAACTTTAAAGTAGAAATCGTGCAATTTTTTACATCCACTAATTTAAGTTGTCTTTCCAGAACAGTTTGCACACTTACACAGTTGCCACACATATTCAGAGCATCACAAACATTATTTAAAAACATTTGAATTGCATTCAGTTAGGAAATAATTATGTTCTGGTGTTAAAATCTCAACAAATTCCATGTCTAGTAATCTATCTGCCTACATGTTAGTTGTGTTTACAAAAGCTGTTAAACGGGTTGTTTGAACAGTAAGGATAATCTCTGGATGTTGTCAAAAGTGGATGGTTCTGGAACAAATGATTGATGTGTTGCTCAAGTCGCTAAGTGGTCTGGTTGCCGTGATATGGGCCAAAAACTGCATTTTTTCGAGATTTTTTGGCTTTTCCGGGAAATCCAGGAAGGAATTCCGGGAATTTTTTTGGCCTATGTTCATCCTCGGAACTTGCTTAACATATTTGCTTTTGGATCTAGTCCTCGATATTGCTTCGTTGAGGAGGAGATACGACTTAAAGCTGCGGACACACATCCATCCAGAAATGACGAGTTAATAATCGCAATCCCTCAGTATGGAAATTGCGCTAAAAATATTTAAAGTCAGTCTAAATACTTTATATTAATATCTATATATATAATTCTCTTCTGGGAGACGTTAAAAAACAAGCTGCAAGCGCGCCTTGCAGTCCCCTCTCTTCCTCTCTGTCGCTACCACCCACCCCCACCCCCCTCACATGGTCTGGTGAGCTGTGGTTCACGCTAAATATTTACATTTTACAATCATAGAGAAGGATTTAGTGACGGCTATTAAGGGCAGATAACTTAGTTTGAAACGATTTTAAACTTTGAGGCGGTAACTAAGAGGAGGCTGCTTTCACGGGATGGGGGGGGGGGGGGGTGGGGGGGGAGGGAGGGGGTTTGGTGTTTTAAGCAAATATTTTCAGTGGCAGCATTGGTACTGTCGAATTCACAAATTATGAATTACTGAAAAGTAAAAAAAACAACAACTAAATAGCGGCGTATGATACGCCGCGGGTCGGCTCATATATATATATAATTCTCTTCTTGGAGACGTTAGAAAACAAGCTGCAAGCGCGCCTTGCAGTCCGCACTCTTCTTCTCTATCGCTACCACACCACACCTACCCCCACATTGTCTGGTGAGCTGTGGTTCACGCTAAATGTTTACAATCGTAGAGCCAGGTTAAGTGACGGTTATTAGGTGCAGATAATTTAGTTTGAAACGATTTTAAACTTAGAGGAGGTAACTAAGAGGAGGCTGCTTTCACCGGGAGGGGGGTGGGGGGGGGGGTTGGGGGAAAGTTGGGTTTTAGTGTTTTAAAGCAAATATTTTCAGTGGCAGCATTGGTACTGTCGAATTCACAAATTATGAATTTCTGAAAATTAGAAACAACAACAACAAAATAGCAACGTATGATACGTCGCGGGTCGGCTCGTATATAATTATATAATTCGCGTGCACACACACGCACCCAGGCGCATATATATATATATATATATATATATATATATATATATATATATATATATATATATATATATATATGTATATATATATATATATATATATTATAACAGTGAAATGTTGGTGGATTGTATCTTGGGAGTGTGTGTGTTGAGGGAGGCGATATTGCATCAGAGAGACAAGGACTGGGCGCATGCGCGAAAGGAAGAAGTGAGGACGGGCGAGAAAATGGCGATGTCTCAGTGGACACGATGCCTGTGTGAAACAAAATAAATATGAAAACTTGCAAGAAGAAGGCTTGTCTTTTGATTTTGTATGTGTAATATAAAAGGTAGGAGAAAGGCCTGTGACATATATATATATATATATATATATATATATATATATATATATATATATATATGTATGTATTTATACATCAATACATAATTAATTCACCTGTTGTAGATTCTTAAGCAGATGATTGTTGTAAACCAGAATTAATGTTGCAAAGGTCAATGAACTCCTCATCTCCTGGGCTGTTGTTGATTTACTCACAGTAAAATTCATTTTTACATTTTTCTTTTGGTCAGAATTTAGGTAGAAGACAACTTCTCCTCCCTTGATGCTCTTAAACCATATTTGTTGACCATTTTCTGGCGCCTTGAAACATATTTTTTGTTGTTTCACATCACATATATGTTTCCAGTACGACTTTAACAGCTCAAAAAACTTCTGAAAGTACCGTTTATTTGTGCCAGAGAGCTGTTAAAATATAAGATTTATTGTTAGATCACTTTGTGAAATGCTTAAAAACTTAATAAATTATGTTATTCTTCACATCTCGTAAAGAGTGTATTTTTTAAAGAAAGTAATTAGGATATAAAACAACAACTTGTACAAGTGATGACAGTTAGAAGCAATTTCATAACACAGATATTCAAACCAACCTGCATGAGTTCATCAAAGGAAATTCTTTTATCTTTATGGACATATTGCTTCAGCTCAATACTTTCTTGTTTGTAAATTAGAAACAAATCACACTTAAATTTTAGATCTGCTACACGGTTTTTAATTTTTTCCATCAATCTCTTGTCACCTAATAAATAAAAGAGCATACAATATTATGTCTGTCTATTTATATATAAAATGGCTCCCTACTCTATGTAGACCATCTGAAGATTTGCGCATTGGAAATTCAATCACAAAACCAGTGCCCATTAAGTTTAGAAGAGCCAGATGTTGCCCATGTACCTGACCCCGTCTCTCTACACATATGATGGACCCGAGGGACAGGACCTTAGCTGAACAGCTTGGAATCAGCCCTACCACTCCGACCCCGATCTCCAACTTATATTTAATATATCACTTATCTATATATATATATATATATATATATATATATATATATATATATATATATATATATATATATATATATATATATATATGTATATATATATATAATTTTCCACAGTAGTGCACTAGACAACGAAGTGATACATTTGTAATTTATAGAGCAAACGTTACTTGTAATTATTACAACAGCTGTTTGAGGTGGCCATGAATTAAACTTATCGAAAGACTCAATGATCTCATTATCCGCTGAATCCTTCCCCTTCAGGACGTGATGTAATTCGACCTATAAAATATAATTGTATTTACGTATTACAGATCTAAGAAAACATGATGTGGCATTAGTAATCGCGTGGTAGAGCGCTCAACCGCTGATCATAAAGTCTAATATTGAGTTCCCGGACTCTAGCCCTGATGAGGTCTTTAAATAGACTAAGCAAATAATTAATGTGGCCGACGGTTTCAATACTACGAGATCTACATAGATCCATTACAAAACAATATCTGCATCACGATTTATACGGTACCTTGTTACAAGTATTGTGTACTGTAACACGAATTTTCGAGGGTTTTAATAAATCGGTTGAATGTTCTATTTATCTATAGTCAAACTAAAGCTAATGCTTCTATACTTATCGTTGACTACTAACCAAATGTCCCATAAATCGTATCAACTCGATCATTCTGTTCTCTCCGCACCGTACTTGCACTATACAATATTCTCACAGTAGCAAAGAGGCTAAGCCTACTCATTAACCATTTTAAACTGTTTCAATAATTAATTAGGTCTAAGCTGTGTTTAATTAATTATCTCCGTTGTTATCGATGTTTAGTCCTGTCGCGTGTTTCGTCATTAAATTCGGCCAGTGTTATAATGAACCAATGTGGCAAAAATGAACCAGATCCGTTCTGGGGTTTACATTTTTATTAAAGATATGAACAGTCGGTCCGCCATCCGCAGGAATACTTTAGTTTTTATATAGATTCAAGTAGTTCAAGTTAAGAAGATCCAACATGTACTCTTTTAGTGCACCCTTAGAAAAGGGATTATGACTCAACACTTTTATTCTTTTTTTTATAAGTTTTTATTTAACTTGCTTTTTCTTTCGTCAGAGATCGATAGCAAAGATTGGCTCGCGGGTCAAGACCAGACAACAATGTAATAACATTAAATTTGATTAAATTAGATGATTAATTTTTACTTTCTCGTATATACGAATTATAGAGAAAGTCTTGTAATCGTGCAAAAAAAAAAAAAAAAAAATCGAGATTTTTACAAATCTCGACGTTTTACACCTCACTGATACGGAAAAAAATAATTTTGCAATCTTGTCCGTATGTCTCTGTGTATGTCTGTGTGTGTGTGTCTGTGTGTGTGTCTGTAAACACGATAACTTGAGTACCGTTACAGCTTGGTTGATGAAATTTCATATATAAGTATTTTATCAAAATCGTAACTAAAAGATCTAACTCTCCACCTTCTGTCAATTTTTTTAGTAATTTCCGTTGCCCGGAAGTACTAATTTACGCTATTTCCGATTTCTCAAAATCTAATGTAAATTTATAAAGTACTAATAATATTTCGCACTATTATGCACATTTTATTTGGCGTTCACTGGTGTGTAATTATTTTTCTATAAGATTTTATTTTATTTTAAAAAGTTTAAGTATTTAAAATGGATTAAATCTCATGTCTATATTCCAAGTTCCTATCCCCTGTTTTTTATATAAGAATATTCGAGAAAGTTTAGGGGAGATCACTCCCGGTTTATTTTTTACTGAATTTAATAAAATTGTCATGTTCATTTGGTGCGAAATAGTTTTTATTCAAGCAACTCTGTTACGATGGTTAAACTACTGAAAAAAGGATAAAAACGTTTTCATTTCAAACTTTTATATAATAACTAGCCGTACCGGCCAGGACCTGCTCTGGCTTCTGTAAAAAACCTTTCTGTTAAAGACCATTACCTGTGTGTTTAGTAATCATCATAAACCCGGCACTGCGCACCCAAACCACGACCAACCAAAACCAAAACAACAAAACGCAAACATAACGCTAACACAATTACAAATACAAACAAAAACAAAAACCTAACAACAAACCCAACCACAAACACCAATACAAACACAAAGAAAAAACAAACATAAAAGCAAACGAAAACAAAAACCTAACAACAAACCCAACCACAACCACAAACACCAATACCAACACAAAAAACAACGAAAAAGCAAACGAAAACAAACCAAATCCAAACGCAAAACCAACCAAAAACACAAGTACAAACCCAAAGAAAAAAAACACAAACAAAAACGAAAAAAGAAAGAACAAAAACGAACCAAATCAAAACGCAACCACTAACGCAAACCCACCTAAACACAAAGAAAATACTAACGCGAACATAAACGCCCGGGGCGGAATCACCTGTTTTAGCTTAATGAACGACTATAGTACCCCAACTTATTCATAGTCTTTTGCACTCACTTAAACGAACGCGCCTGTTTCAATTTAATGAACAATTATAATACTCTAAGCTTATCCGTAAAATACCTACAACATTTGCACTTGATCAATCCCCGCTAATTATGTAATTATTTTTTTTCCCAACACCAAAACAAAGTAATAAAAACTAAATTCTTTTCCACTAATGCAATGGTTTTATAAAGGGAAGTAATTGTGTTTTCCTAATTTATCAAAGGGAAGTAAGTGCTATAGGACTAAATAAAGACATAATTAGAATTTTTGTAAAAGATGATATTTTTTTAAAACTTGTGTTTAATGAACATGCCGACAATTATTACTTTCAGTTTGATAAATGAAAATTATTTCCCAAAACTTTCAATATTAATTTTTAACTCATAAATTTAGACCGTAAGGACTTTAATCATCTAACACTTTAATCCATAGAAGTATGTCAACGACATACAGAACTGAGCTTTATATATTAGATGCACTAAAAAGGAGAAAAGAAACGATTTTCTTTGTATATATATAAAATAATACACCACCATTTAAATAACGAGAAATAAAAGCTTTGGTCTTTTCCTAAATATTAGTTAAGGAATCCAATGTATAATGCAGAGACTCCGCTTTTCTTTATAGTTATATACATAGTAGTGTATTATTATATATTTAAAGTAAAATCCTTTATTTTCTACTTTTTAGTGTATAATTAAATAAAAGCTTATCATTAAAGCTTTTTTTTTTTTTTTTGCATTTAAAAACAAATTCTTGCGATGTATTGTTTTTGCTATTATTGTTTTTGTAATTTATAAACTGACTTGTAACGTTGTATAACACAGGCTTTGATGGGAAAACAAAATTTATATTTGATCTCAAGGAAGGGATGTGCTTTTTAATATGTCCAGAACAATAGTCACTCTACCCTTTAATAATCGCCGTTTAGTACGTTTTTTGTTTCTTTTTCTTGTGATTGTGCAAGTTTAAAATTGAACGAACACACCTTTGCCTCTTGTAAAACCTTGACTAATGAATCTTTCTGATTTTTGAAGTCAGCTGCACATACAAATAGCGGGTCCTTATGTACGTATCGGCCATCTTGCTTTGACTTAACGAACTCCTTGACTTTTTCAATCATGAAGTTTGTTCTATCAATTCCAACTTGAACATTTTCAATGTCCCAGAAGACGCCCCAATAAATAGTAGTTGATTCTAGATGGAGGCGATAATGGCAGACATAATACAAATACAGAAAATACACTCAATTTTGTGCATGTATAAAAGTGCCTTATTGGTAGTTCGTAATTCTATTGCCTTCGATTATTTTGACTGAGGGCAAAAAAAGTAATATATTTTACATGACAGTCTTGGGCGTTGCTATATATATGTAATGAAGTGTTGATGTAATTAATTCAACCATATTTCTTTTAAATAATGAATAACAAGCAGCAGCAAATAATAGAGACAGACTGTTAACAAAGTGTTCATTATATGGCCTTCACCAGGCCATTAAAAGATCAGCATAATCAAAAATTTAAGGGCGATTTGTTTTTTTTTTTTGGGTTCGCAGAAAATGCAATATATTCAATATAGCTATTATCTTTATAACCTTATTTGCTTATAACAAGTATTTAAATAGGTTTTTTTTTCATGGTCGAGTCAGCAAAGCTAATAGTTGATAAATTCGAAAAAAGTCTCGAGCTCAAACCCTCTGGCAGATAAGGCTCGATCCCTTCCAACACTAAAAACTAAGAACGAAGAAGAATAGTTTTTTAAATTATTTTTTCGAATATAAACAAAAGTTTTGTAAGTTATGTATCATAAAAAAGAGAAGTACTTTGTATAATTTTTGTCAGGTATATTTATAATATTTTTGATCGACAAGTCATATAAGGTTATTTTCAACTCATATTAATAGTACTAGAAAAATAACCTAATATATTAGAATAAATATGCAATGCATTTTTAGACATTATTTTACAGTTAAATGTAAATTTATAAACCCTAAAAATTAAAGCACAATGATGTGTACTATATGCATATTTTCTACAATCATATATTTGCTCCACACAAAAACACAACCAGTTTCATCGTTAAAGTATGAATATAAATCTTTAAAGGAGAAGTTGCTTACAAGGTTGCAATCAAATATAGATCTAGACCATGTTACTTGTAACAACGTATATACGACAAGAGTTGCTATTGTGAGTTATTATTAATAAAAGATGTATCACACCCGGGTGTAAACTTTTGCTTAGCCAATAAAAATAAAACCTTTTACCTAAACATGGGTGCACATCTGGGAAACGGGATGGGATTTGTGGTTTTAAAATGTGATTTTCAACATGATTTAGTGCAGACGTTGGGTTGTCCATGTCTACAAGAGAAGAGTATTGGGTCTCTCTGTGGATAGAAGTAAGCTATTTTTATAACATTGTATTAACATGAATATTTAAATGCCCTTTTGTTGAAATAGTGTTACCATGTACAAAAGTAATAACATTTTTCTTTGAACATGATATTTGTATGTCGTGTGAAATTTATAATATTTCGCATCATTAACAACACAATATATGGGTACCAGACTCACGTTAGGTAAACAATAAAGGCGGCTTGCTAGTTCTGACCCTACTTTTAAGTTCAAATCATAGCTATCCTATATCAAAGTGTTTACTTAATATTAAGACCCAATGCTAAATACACTGTGTTATTTAAAAGTGTGTTGGACCATCCACCGAGTATATATGCTATGCAGTGATACAAACAAAACACGTTTATAAACCTAAGAAAACAGGAAAACCATTTAAAATAACTTTTTTCTATATTCATAAATTAAAATAACAGTTAGGGTTCAAATTGTATAGAAAATGTATTTGGAACAACATTTATTTTATATTTTAGAATTTTTTCTTAATTAAGAGTCGTCTATAAATAACGTAACGCGTTTTATAACGTCACGATTTTTACCTCGCTATACCCTACTTGACACATCCACATAACTTGCTACCCCTCCCCGCCACACACAACCACACCTTTATAACTTCACACTGCAGCTTACAACCCCTCCCTTTCTCTAAAAACTATGTTAATGTTTTTATTTTCTGAGTTTGGTTAGCATTGAGTTTTTTTCCCGATTGTCACGTTGCTTATGGACTATATTTTGTCACAAAAATGTGTGCAAAGTTTTAAATCTAATATATGATTTTATATAGTATGCAAGTTTAAATACAAATCGTTAAAGAAACTTTTTAAATCGATGTACAGTACAGTGGTGTAGCTAGGATTTTCGGGCCCCTATGCAAAAATTATCAGTGGGCCCTTTCGTCAGCAGTTAGACTACAAAGGAGTTAAACGGAGAGATCAACTGCTACTTACGATATATAAATTTTAACAATATAAATATTCTCCACATTTTGTATTTGATACGCGCTGATTATATATTTATACTATATTATTATGAAAGCCAACTACTGCTGCTACCCGATAGTTTTGTAAAAATGTTACAGGCTTACAGTTAATTTGTTAGTAATCAAACATAGTAGCGTCACAAGGCAGGGACAAGGGTACTGTACGCGTCCGATGACAACATTTAGGCCTAAAACCATGCCAAAACATCGTAGAATGTACTGTCAAAACTATGTTGTGTCCAGCTAAAATAATAAAAGATTAGTGAGAAAGGTGTGACATCCCACCGAAAATGCAAATATTTTTGATGACGATGGGGTGACACCTTTAAAAACGCACAGAGGAACATCCGACCTTGTGACGCCTCTAACCAAATGTTTTAACACAATGTTTTAAAAAATGCTCATAGTTTATTAAGTTCTTTTCCAATGCTTTTAATTTGCAAATTGATCAATAAGTTTTTTGAGATCTGTTTTAGCTGCTTCTGTAAGTCGATCCTTTGGATAGCTACTGACACGATGGAAATATATACAATTTGTTTCATAACAATGTAGCATCATCATAATGAGATTTAAAAATTCCATCATAGATATCAAAATCTCCTTCTTGATCACCGTGGAATGCTAAAGAATGTTTAAACCAAATAGCGTACCCGTCATCGTTGCTACGATCTAGTCCTACGTACCAGGGTAATAAAACAATTTGTAAGGGTTTCATCAACGCGTTACCGATTGTGTATTTATAGTCTTTTGACCCTGTTTTCTAAAACTGAGTTTAAATATAAACAACGCCACTGCAATTTTTTAAATCTTTGTTGCAGGGGTGCGGATTTGTTCATACTAAAGCTCAGACGCCCATGGGCTAGCTGTATGAAAGCATTGACTGTACGTTAGTCATCCTCCGCAATAGTGATAGTGAGGTTAAATATCTTCCAGGGTCGCGGTTGTGACCGTTTAAACTACCGTAAGTCGCCTGGTGCAAACCCTGGTTCTGCTTAAACCTCGATCTTAGAGGCCTACCTTGTCCCTTTTGTAGAATATTCGTGTGATTGGTACTTTAAAAAACAGTTGAAATTCGAAAACTGCTATCAATATTTTGTTTTCTGTTTCGATAAACAGCGACCTGAATTTATTTGTGTACAAAAATCCTCTAGAAGCGATTGTTCCTTTTAAATAAAGGCTATGAATTTCAAAATATTTGGGTGGCAACATCAGATATTCGACTGGGAACTTCTGTGCCAGCCTTCAACTGAGTTGTTTGTTTTTGGCATATGGTCTTCAGCGCGTGTGTGCATGTTCCACATATCAAGTGGAAACATAGGTTGTCCCCGACGTCGACGTTGTGGCCTGCCAATATAGTAGCCCTCTAAATAGTCTCCAATCGGCATTGCTTCTTAATGGAACTTTTCCAATAATTTATCAAAGGCATAACAAATGCGTTCAGTGTGCACAAAAGCCAACGTAGGTAGCATTCTGAACTTGGGAGCTTATTCTCTATTAATTTAGTAACGTTGTTGAAGGCCAGAGTCCTGTATTTTTTTAGTATGTTTTGGCTAAGGTGGAAAAAGCATCATTTTCCTTAACAGCCTGGAAACGTCGTTATTTCAATTTTCATTTGATGTCCAATCAACATTATATTTTTCTTTTTTAAACTTCAGTCGGGGGTTATAATCCATGTGGGGGGGGGGGGCATATTTCACGGGGGGGGGGGGGTTATGTCAAGGCGGCATTAGACCGGGAGTCGAAGCAAGTAGTACTCCTGACGCGCAATCAAATGATCCTTTGCACTCAGGTAGCCGCTGGGTTACTCGGGGCGACCAACTGTTACTACTGCTGATGTGCTGGAGGACACCTAATCAACGGATAGCGGCTGTGAAACTCTGGGTGGCAAACCGCACCGCCTTACTGCCGGGGCGTCGCCCTCAGAAAAAAATAAAAAAATAATGGCAGTAACCTACACACGTCAGAGTTTCTTTGATACACCTTTTCAGAAAAATGTCTGAAATAAAAACACAGCCTGAAGTATTCTCAACGACTTTCCAAAGTGTCTTGGCGATTGGATGAAAACCAAAAAGATATGGTGTTAGTAGTGTCATGTTAATTAAAGATTATTATATAATAAAAAAATGAAGTATCACTGAGGTAAAAATTAGCAAAAAGAATTTAATAAATGTTTAACTTCGCTTGCTGTGGAAACACTGTTATTTTTTTATGGTTCAATTAAGTTGTTGTCATTAATTCTTAGTAGGATAGATTTTCGGGGAGGGCTGACAGTTGGGAGGGAAGTGCAGGTCTGGAAAAAGGGGGGGGGGAGCTTTAGAATTTCCCAGACAATTGAGGTTTTTAGCGATGCATTTAAACTTACGATTCAAAGTTTAAGTTGATTTATATGCTATTTCTCTCAATTACATGCAACGCCCGCAATTTTATTTTTAGGGATGGGCCCTGTTCGACCCCCCCCCCCCCCTCGTCACTGAATCCCACTGCCTGTAAAGTAAGATAGAA